AGCAGACAACCTGAGACCTCTTCCAAGAGCCCGTTGTGATGGTGACGGGAGTGAGTGCCAACCAGAAATGCCTGCACCCGGGTGGCTCTCTCCTTCAACATATGTCCCTGTGTCTCCACTTGGAATCAGATGCCTAGCTTGATGGCTCTATGCTGAGAAGGGAAGGAACTGATTAGCCTGTGACTGCCATTCACAGGGGACATGGAAAAGCAGCAGCCAATCGGGGTACAGCAGCATGAAGCCAGGACTGTCAGCACCCCAAAAGCACCAATGGCTCCCATAAATTAGAGGAGTGTTGCCTCCTGAGTGTGTGATGTGTGGGAGACGCTTCCTGTGCTGAGTCTCATAAAGCCAGCCAAGGGGCTGTGGAAGCCATCCAGTGCTGCACTGAGCTCAGCCCAAGACGGGACAGGAAGTCAACCAGCTCTGGGGGAATGTGCCAGGCGCTTGCTGTTGCATCACGCACTGGGCCTGCTTGCCATTCCCACCCATTCTCAGTTCACGAACAGGAAATAGTTAAGAGGAAAAAAACACCTGTGTTCTTCTCCATCTACAGAAGAAAATTATTTTTCTGGTAAATTCCATATTTGAAAGATATGACTTTAAAGTCACTAAGAACTTAAAATTCACACTGTCTATGAACACACAGTTCATGTTAAATGAGCCTTGTGACCATAATACCATCGGGATATTTTTAAATAAGATTTTTATTTATTTTTAAAAATTATTTTATAGCAAATTTCTTGCTGGGTAGGCATGATGGTGCATGCCTCTAATCACAGCATACAGGAGGCTGAGGCAGGAGTGCCTTAGTCCACCCAAGAAAATAGCACCATGCACATGAGGCCAAATAAAAGTCCTTTACTCAAACCGGTGATACTGAGAACAGGCTCTTGACACAAAGAACTCTCGGCCCCAAAGCATTTTTACAACACATCATTCCCAGCAAGGAAGGAGGAACCCTTTGATCTGTTGAACATTTTACAAACATCATTTCTCAGAAGGGAGAAAGCTTATTTGTCTGCCATGCAGGATGTGGCTCTGGAGAGGAGGCATAAGTCAGAGTAACCTGACTTCTCCAAAGCCATTTCATGAGGATTTCAAGTTCAAAGACAGCCTGGGGTATGTCCTGAGTCTCATGCCAGCCTTTGCTATATAAGGAGAAACTATGACAAACAACAACAAAAATGTAAATAAAGACACCAATTTTTCAGCATTTCTTTACCATCACTCAATCAACCTTCCCAACAAATCATGTCCTTCTCCATAAGAGGACAGATGCCTGCAATAATATCTCACATCCCCCCCATCCAAACTAGAATTTATCACCTATCCTGAGGCCCAAGCACCAGAGTATAGGGGCCCAGAAAAGTTCAGGTTAATATACCACTCTAAGGAGAAATCAACAAGCCGTGAAGACACTTGGGGTCTACAGGACTAAGATCAGAAGAGGATATTAGGTAATACTGAGCCCAAGTGATAGCCTCCTAGATATAAACAGGCTTAAAGCTGTTCAGTGGTAAATGAATTCAGGATCAATGAGGTGGTATAACAGGTTTCGGCATGTGTTACCACACCTGACAACCTGAATTCAATACACAAGATCTACATGGTGGAAGGAGAGAACAGACTCCCACAAGATGTCCTCTGGTCTCTATACTCAGTGGTGTGCACACCCCCAACACACATACCAATTAAATGAAATAAATACATATTTTAATATAAGTAATTTCAATTATGCTCATTGATTTGGTCACTGTTATTATTAATTCCATATTCTCAGCACTAAAAATAATGCCTATCATGCACAAGAGGAGCAGGGTGCATCAGGATGAAAGAATGACTCCACCGGGTGTCAAGGGAAAGGGACATGTGCAGGGGACGTGCACAAGAAACCCTTGTGTTCAGTGCCTATCGTGGCCACTGTGGCCTGTCTATAGAATTGACTGCGTATATACACATGAAGAACAAAGATGAGATTTCTTTTAGCACTCTCTGAGCTTCCTAACATGAAAGAGAAGGTATGCCTCTGTGCACACACTCAAGTGTGCGTGTGCATGCGTGTATTTGATGTCTTTAAGACATGAGAGGTTTGTTGTCAACCAAAGCATTTCACATACAGTGATTCAGTAAATGGTTCTACTAGTGATTCAGTAAATGGTTCTACTAGTGAACTGTGATCTGACTCCAGGGCATGGGCCCTTGGCTCTCCATCTCCTGCCATACCTTATTGCAATCAATCCACGTGAATCTATTAAATGGGTAACAGAATTTATTAAGATATAAATTGAGGAGATACACTCATGAATACAGAATGGAGTAGACAGCTGAAGTTGTCCTCTGATCTGACCAGCAGTGAATCCACCTCACAGGCAGGAGCAGGGAGAAGGGGCATGTGACCCTTCTCCAACTCCTTATAAGAGGTCACATATGACAGCAGGAAGCACTGCCTCCTTTGGGCTGTGTAGCACAAGGTCATGGGTAGGGCAAGTACCACCACATTACCTTTTACCGTAAGAAATCACATACAAGGATTCAGTGCCTTGCTGTAGGCTTTTCTCCTGGGTTTGTACTTTTCTCTGAATTAGGAAACTTCTGAAAACAGCACTTTAAATGACAATTCTTGATTTGACTTTTGTCAGCTTGAGATACGTATCCTAGAAGTTAAACCAAAACAGAAAATTCCCACGCAATCTCCCTTCCTGCTGCACATGGCAGGCTCACCACTCAGACTGTACCCTTGCGTTTGGAGACCCACACAATCACGACACAGCATTCACAGTGCAAACTGTGCTAAGTTCCTTTTGGGGCTGTGATAAAACATCCTGACCAAAAGCAGCGTGCGGGAAGAAATGGTTTATTTGGCTTACACTTCCAGAGATGAAAGTAGACCATTTGGGAACTCTGCTGAACACCGGCTCCCTCGGAGGCTTATGCCACCTTTCTTATCCAGCTCAGGACCAGGTGGTAGGGAACGGTCCCACTCACACTGGACTAGATCCTCGTACATCAATTAATAATTAAGATAATTCCCTGTTATTAAAGATTAAAGGCTAAACTGATCTGAGCAATTCCTCTTGGGTTGACTTTGGCTGTATCAAGTTGGCCTTAAAGCTAGTGAGGACAAGAACTGACAGCAGGGATGCAGGGGCCTGCCGCATAGCAGAGGAACATGGGCTTCCAGGCATCAGTTCCTTGTTCTTGATGTTCAGGACAGATGCTCTTGGTCCTGATTGCCAATCTGACATGGTGCTTTTAGGATAACAGAGAGTAAGCAAAGGAGCTGTGGACGAATGTCCTCTCTGCAGAGCCAGAGGTCTCAAGAGGCAGGATGCCGTTGCCTCCTCCAACTCAGTGGCTTTACCCAAATCACATCTGACAAAAGTATGAGCAGAGTTTCCAAAACCGAATACATGACACATCACAGCCTTCCTTCCCCAGGAGGGAAAATGATCTTTCCATACAAGGCTGACCAGGTAAGAATGTGGCCTACTTCCAGAACACGGTGTCCTGGATGGAAAAACAGTGTAATCTACAGAAGCATGTTACCTAACTCTCACCCAGTTCTCACGTGTGGACCCAAGGACGACTGCAGGAATCATTTCAAACCCAGAGCAGTGACAAAGGAGCCAGGATCACACAAGCTGGTCCAAGTGGGAACCTCCACTCTGGCACTAAGTGCTCACAGGATCCTGCACTCACAGTCTGACAAGTGGTAGAGCTCTGATCTAGTGACCCAGCCTAGCCTCCTACACATGCTAACTTTGAGGTGGGCACAGACACTGTGATAGACATGAAGTAGCAGTAGGGTGTGCAAGTCTCTCCCTACCCAGTGAACAGCAGGTGGACGACAGATAACAAGTTTGTTCCAGCTTCGCAGAGAACCTGCTCCCTTGGTGTCCAGGAGCTAACAGTGGACTGGAAGAGCAGGTGACTAATTGTTTAGGAATCTTGCAAGCCAGTTATTAAAGTCAGCCATCATTAAAGATCAACTTAGATAAGCTTAAATAAACTACACCAAAAGAAGTGTTAAGTATCAACTCTGGGCATTTCCTAGTTGGACTGCATAGTACTCCTGAGATGCTGAGTGTCTGTGTCATCTGTCTGGTGGAAACTGCAGAGTGGCAGGCACCAATGACTCCACAGCCAGTGATGTCACACCACAGCTTAGCACAGCTTAGCATCAGCCGTGGTGGGAACATTTACATGGAAATGAGCAGACATAAATCAGAATATGAGCACGTCACCCGCGTGGGTTTTCATCTGTATGCTTTCTACCCTGCTGTCTTTCATCTCTCCTCTGTATAGTTCATCTGCACACATATGGGCCTGTACCCTACACATGAAATTTAAAATAAAAATGCAAATAAAAGCCTAACATTCTTCTATTTAACATCTTTTCTTCCCATTATGTCATTGCTAGTTCTATCAATTTTTTTCTTTTCTTTTTTTTTCTTTCTTTCTTCTTCTTCTTCTTTTTTTTTTTTTTTTTTTTTTTTTTTTTATTTTGCTGTTTTCAAGACAGGGTTCTCTGTGTAGTTTTGGTGCCTGTCCTGAATCTTGCTCTGTAAACCAGGCTGGCCTCGAATTCACAGAGATCCTCCTGGCTCTGCCTCCCAAGTGCTGGGATTAAAGGCGTGCACCACCACTGCCCGGCCGAATTTTTTTTCTTATGGTTGATGCCAATCCATTCTTATGGCTCACTTATTTTTCTTTTTAATCTCACAAACATTTAAATAACTATTAGCCAAAGACTGCATTAAGAACTTAGGGTCAACTGCCAAAAACACAGAGAAAGTTTCCACCCTCAAGGTGTTCACAGTCACTCCAGACTAACTTCCCAGACCACCATGAAAGTCCCCAACCCACAGCCAAGACCCTTGAGGGGAGAGGCTGTCCCAAGGAGCTCACTCAGTCGCTCTGCAGACACCCTGGCCTGCAACACTGGGCAATCACAATACAAGAAAGGAATACGGTGGAGAACCCAGCCCAGTACCTACCTCATCAGGGACCACACTGCTCCTGCAGACACAGGGAACCTGCTGCTCTTGGGCTCCGGTGGCAGTGGTGAATGGCAGCCTCCCCAAGAATCTTTGTGTGGGAAGCGCTGCTTTCTGCTCTCACGGTGGGGGTGGGCATGCTGAGAGGAGGGTTGGGGGTCCCCTGGCTGCTGTGAGCTGTGCTGACAGATCACCCCATTGCTCCTAATAGTTCACAGAATTGAGGAAAAAAACAGTCAGACAAAATGACAAGACTTGTAACAAAGCAGCAGCCACCCCCTGCTTCCCTAGCTGAGATTCCTAGAAGGATGTGCTTTTCAAGTCTCCAAGTCCCCTGTTTGCAGCTACCTACTTTCATAAGCACAATCGCATTATCAGTTTTTCTTTTTCGGTTTTATTTTTACTGGCACATATTCACTGTGTGTACCGCTAGGTTTTGTGAGGATATTTGCATGTAAGTATATGATGCTCTTTAGCATATTCCCTTATACCCTCTGACCTTCCTCTTCTCTCAGTTTACTCCTCTTCATTCCCAAGACAGTCCCAAGGAAATCTTATACGCACACATACATATATATACAACTATATAACCCACAAATGAGAGGAAAATATGTACTAATTGTCTTTCTGACTTAATTCACCATGTATGATAACCTCCAGATATACCCATTGTCCTATAATGATAAAATTTCTTTCTTCTCTATGGCTGAATTCCATTGTATATAATTAACTTTATAGAGTCCTCTGTTGATAGACAACTTATGTCGATTCCATACCTAGCTGTTGTAACTAGTGCTGTACTAAAGATCCATGTGCACGTCTCTGTGGCATGCTGACTTAGAGTCTTTCTGGTAAATACCCAGAAATGCTATAGCTGGGTCATATGATAGATCTATCTTTGTTGTTTGTTTGTTTGTTTGTTTTTATGTAACCTCCATACTGATTTCCACCGTGGCTACGTTACTTTGTCATCCCACCAGCAGTGTATAAGTATTCTCTTATCTCCACAATTTCATCAGCATTTGCCATTTGTTGTTTTCTTAATGACTACATGTAAAACTGTAAGAACTATGGGTTTGATTAGGGAAGAAAATTCTACATGCTTGAACTCCAGATATTCCCCAGTCACTCTGAGCATCACAATCCACACACAAAACAAATGAACCTTTTCAGCTTTAAGAGGAAGATGGGGTACTCAATAAGCTTTCTCTTTAACTGGAAAATGACATGACCTGTGAGTGAGTACACATGACTAGCCAAGACTGGCTCCCACAACCTCTTAAGGCTCTTAGGTTATGCACCTAGAGCAAGCAGACAGGAGTTCACTCATGAGTAACAGCCTTCAGAACTTGGGGACTCAAAACAAGCTGCTAATACTTGCCATTCATAATATGATTTTCTTTGTGAATCAGGATTCCCTCAGCAGGACACAAGCAAAACAAACCAGGGGCGGAGCCTGGCATTTAAAACAGCTTCTTTGAATTCCAGATGTGGCAGTCTTAGAAACCATGAGCCAGAAAAAAATCCCTTTCTCCTTCAAGTTACAGCTGTCAGGTTTATCACAAGAAAAGTCACTAATACGACACCGACACCGAGGTTGGAAATCACTTACGACTTGTCCTGCTGGTGGGAGGGGGAGAAGAGGTCATACACCAAACACACCCCGAACACAGTGACGCCCGTCTCCTTCACCAGCATGGCACAGGTCCCCAGAAACAAGCTGAGCAGCAGGAAGAAGGGGGAAGCCGTGGCGGGGAAGCACTGCCCTGCACAGTCCTGATCCAGACTCCTGCAAAGCAAAGTGGGCGTTTCATTGTGAACACAGGGGCTGCTATGAAACAGTACCTTTAGAGACGTATGTAGTGTACGTCTGCCTGGGAAGGCAGAGAGCAGAGGTTCCTCCAAGAGCATTTGCCATCAGCTATTGAGAACTGTTAAGATGGTGGGGCTGGGGAGTTGGCCCAGTGACTAAGAGCTCTTGCTGCTCTGTCAAAGGAAGGGAATTTAATTCCCAGAACCCTCATCAGGCGGCTCAGAAGCCCCTGTAACTGCAGCTCCAGGAGATCCTATGCCTTCTTTGGGCCTCCTTGGGAACACACACACACACACACACACACACACACACACACACACACACACACTTTTTTTAAAAATCTTTAAAAATTTTGAAGAATGTTGAAATGGAAAAAAGTCCAAAAAATATCAACTTAAAACTAAATTACAGTATGCAAATTATGATGCAATATGGTTTATAATGAATGAACACTAAAAAGACATTTAAAACACTAACATAAGGGTAGATTTAGTAGATAGAAAGATGTTTAAGTGAATATGTTTCAAGCAAATAACACACATTACTAACAAATATGCATGAACTAAGAAGCCAAATTCCCTGGTACAAACCACAGATGTGCAGTTAGCAAACAGGACACCATTCCACAGAAATGGGAGAATTAGCATGGTAGCAGGGAATGGATAAGTGACAGATGTCAAGTGCTCATCACCATGATCAGATCAAAGTGTTTTTACACACATATATGCACAAAACAGGAGAGATATATGCAAATAGCATTTCTCTTGATGATGGAACAATAGGTTTTAAGCATTTTTCTTCTCTCTTGACTACTCTATTTGAATTTACTTTCAATACACATATATTTAGTAATTTTTAAAATCAATTATTTGTATATATGTGTGTGCCTGTGTGTGGTTTTGCATACATGTGAATGCAGTTGCCTATGGAGGCCACAAGAGGCCATCAGATTCCCTGAAGCAGGAGTTACAGGCAGTTGGGAGCCACCCAGTATGGGTCCTGGGAACCATTCAGGTCCTCTGTGTAGTGGGTAGCCATTCCAGCTTGGATCTGGAAGTTCCAACCCGCATTGAGACTCTGGCAACTGTCACGCCTACAAGGCGGGGCCAGGGGAGGCGCCTGGAGACCCATGGGCCAGTGCTCTCTCTGGAGCTCTCTCTGTGCCAGGACGCTGAACGCTGAACGTTGGAAGTGGAGGCACACAGCTCTCGGGTCTCCAGGCACCTCCCCTGGCCCCGCCTCGTAGGTGTGACAGTTGCCAGAGTCTCAATGGGGGTTGGAACTTCCAGATCCAAGCTGGAATGGCTACCCACTACACCTCTGCCAGAGAAGTGTATGCTTTTAACTACTGAACCATCTCCGAAGTCCTGTAATCTTTATTTTTGATCATAATTTCATATAGGAATTTTCAAGATGTTTTCAATGTTGTTTTCCAAATTATAAATGGAACTAGTCCTAGGAAACATGACTATTTCCTCATATAGGTGCACAGTCACCGGCTCACTCTCCCTTGAGGGGAGTGCCCATACTCTATACTGTGACAGCTCCTCCTATGTATTGCATCTTGGAAGAATTAGATAAAATTACATGCAAAATTTATGGTAAATATACATTTTTCCATGAGGTTGATCCAGAACTTATATTTCCGAAGGTAAGCAGGGCACACACAATCACCTGTGATGATCTGGCTCACACCCACACAGATAGGGGCACACTGCAAAGCTCATCATGTTCTTAGATATATCAACCAAACAGAAAATTTTAAATTAAATCAATAGATTGATTCTGGTCCAACACCAGGTTAAAGAGAAAACACTAAATCTGACCTTAAGTTTTAAGATGTCGTAACAGTGTTCGCATGATTAGGAATGTTGCAGACAGTGTCAAAGCTCAGGCCTGGCGATGAACACTGTACTAGTCAGGCTCCACTCCCATTAGCAACATCTCCTGGAGCTCCATGTATCTCACCCCAGACCCAAGGCCTCCGCTGGACTATACCAGCATCCTCTGCCATATGGTGTTTCTCTGCCAGATGATTCTTTGTCGTGAGGTCTGTCTTATGTACGCAGGGCATCTGTCCAGGGGCATTCTGACTCTCTAGCTACTAGATGCCAGTGGCACTTCTCCAGTGTGACAACCGAGATGACTGATATCACCAGGGCTCTGGCCTAATGAGTGCTTTAATACATCAATGGAGTCAAAGTCTGAATAGAGTACTGGAAGATGAAGACCTGAGGGAGGTGGGGCTTGCTTGGAGGAAGCAGGCACTGAGAGTGTGTCCTTGGAGGAGGCTATCTCATGCACCAGACTGTTATTGCTTCCCCCTATATCCTGTCTGCCATGAAGTTAACTATTCACTGCCACATGCTCTTGCATTCTGTCTGGATACATGGGGCCAAGGCCCCTCTCCCTTTCACGTACAATGACAAGAAGCATGGCCTCCTTCGGGCCATATAACCCAAGGTCATGGGCGGAACAAATACCACGACAAACAATTCTGTCTGGATACATGGGCCAACCAACCATGACTAAAACTTTGAGCCAAAATAAATAATTCTCCCTTTAGGCTGTTCTCTTGGATATTTGGGCAATGAGTATGCAAAATCAGCTACTACTCAAGGAAGAAGGGAAATGGTTGATAATCCAATACCCCTGATTTAGAACAATGTTCTTAAAAGTCAGTCACTGGGCTTTGTAAGTTACAGGTCATCTATCTCTCCATGAAGCCAGCTGATAGAATTGACTTGGATCTTTAGGAAGACACCCTGAGCTCTCTGTTCCAACTCACATCTTCCTAACTCATTCTTCTCTGCATTCCGTATATCACAAGTCAGTTAAAAATGCCTTCACTTTGGGGGTAAAGGCACAATGTCATAGAAAGAGGTTTCCTGTATTTTGACGAAAGGATTCTAAAGTGCAAAACTATAGTTAAGAACCAATACTTTCTAGTCAACCTTGTTATGTAACCGTGAATGGCTGTTGTAAGAATGATAGAAAAAGCAGAAACAGGGACAAAATGAGGATAAATTAAACAAATCGAAGGCAAGTAACACGGAGCACTGCAGACACAACTCTCCAGCTATTTTTGTTCACAGCTAGAGTTCCATTCTCAGCCGGGATCAACAAGCAAAAGAATCAAGCTCTTAGATTCCCAGCACAGGGATGGTAGTCTTTTAATGCTGATGTGAGGGATGGGAGATGGCTCAGCATGAAGTGCCTGCTGCATAAGCAGGAGACCTGAGTTCAATCCCTAGCATGCATTAAATGAAAAAAAAAAATGTAGACACCACGTCTGTAATCCTAGCTCTGGGGGAGTGGAGACAGGCAGATTCCCAACAGGTTCTATGGGAGACCCAGCCTCAAAAGATACTGTGGACAACAATCAAAGAAAACAACCAACATTGGCTTCTCGTCTCCATGAGAACATGTACATGCATGTGTAAGCACTACACACACACACACACACACACACACACACACACACACACACACACACGCAGAGAGAGAGAGAGACAGACAGACAGACAGAGAGAGAGAGAGACAGAGAGAGAGAGAGAGGAGAGAGAGAGAGACAGACAGACAGAGAGAGAGAGATTGAGAGGGGGGGGGATATTAAATGCTTCAGAATGGGGCTGGAAGATAACAGGTCAGCACTGGATAAAAAGAGGGTTTCTCTCCCCAGCACCCACTGAGCGTGTTACAGCCCACAGCCTCTCTCCGGTCAAGCAGGGGTTTAGTGTGTAGTATGTGGTAGTATGTGACCAAAACCACAGAAGGGTTTGTTTATCCTCACTCACCTGTGGTAGGAAAGAAAGGCGAGCAGGAACAGGAGACACGCTAACACATCAGCTCTGCCCACGATGCCAGCCACCTAGAAGGTGCAACACAACGAAAAATGTAAAACTTGGAAAATGATTATCACAGTACCTTGTGGAAGTGCATCTGACTGTAGACATATGAACAGCACAGCAGAAAGCATGCTCTTTACAGACGGCAGCCTATGGCCAAAACCCCTGATCACCTCTGATGTTGCAGATGCTCCATGGTACACTTAAAGGAGACAAGGAGAAGCAGAGGACATAGTTTCCACACTTAACCTTATTTCTAAGTTCTCTTCCACACAGGATCAATTGCCAGCATAAAAGTTTGTTCAGTTATTGACTTACTAAAATATGCTTTAAGGATTGTGGGCATACATAACTCAGGGGTAAAGTGCTTGGCTAGACTGTACAATGCCCTGGGTTTGAGTCTCAATAAACTCTATCCTCAAACATTGAGTGTCAGTCACTGTTCTCATCACTGGAGAGTGAGGTATGATGGGTCACTGAGTATTCACAGAGTGGGGGAAAACAAAAGCAGAGAAATCAACATTTTAACAATGAGGGGGACTCCTGATTGCTACAGAGTATATGTTTGTGTGTGCACATGCATGTGCACAGATGCATGTGTCTGTGGTTTCATAAGTCTGTCAGTGCCCCATAATCCACTGCCCCACCTCAGACAAACACTGGCTCCCTAGAAAAGAGTCTGATTCTAGGGCTGAGGCTTAGGGAAACTCAAGAGCAGCAAGAACCATTGTCTCATGTCAGAGTACAAAAGCACTCAGAAAATGTTAGTTAAAAGGAAAAAAATCCAAAGAAAAGGGACTCCCGCTGAACAAACCTGAGAAAACTTGATTAAAACAAACACGGAGCCTGATATAAGATAACCACTGAAGACAGAGAAATCCACATCCACACAGATGACAGATGGGTGATAAAGGTCACAAGTGCATAAACACAAACAGCAAATAAATGAGTGAACAAGCAGGAACTCTGCTCCGCTAAAAGGCCAGTCAATGTGTGTGGATAGAACAGCCAAGCTGGAAAATAACCATTGGCTTCTGGAAGAGCAAAGGCTGGAGAGAGCAAGAAGCCAGAAATACCAATCTATCTGGGAGGGTAACTCAGCAGTGAAGCACTCTTATCCAGAGAACCCAAGGCCCAGGGTTCAATCCTCAGCACCACAAAAATGAACATAAACAAGAGAATAATCGATGGTAACTCTAACTCTAGGACATGAAAGTTATTTGAGATGCAAGGTATCTACATAACTTCAAAACAACTTAATTTTCAGAAAAATAAAAGAGTGAAGACACTAGGGAGAGGATGTATTAAGGTGGTACACCACATCCCCCAGGAAATCAAAATGAAAATTATCTTCAAAGACACGACAAAAATACCATGCAGGCCTATTCTAACCAAGAATATACAACTAATCACATGCATGAGAAAATCAGACAAATTCAAGGAGAGACACAATCCATAAGAAGGAGGATGTAAGCATGTTTCTAAACATAAATACATACTTTAAATTATAGCATATTAATCTGCATTAAGATCTGCATTACATTTGTGTTACATTGTATTTTTACTTATCATGACTCCTAATTATGTTACTGCTTATAACTTATAATAATAAAAAATCATAAACTTATAGGTCTAATGTACATATACGTGCATTATATACTGATAATGATGTTAAATTTTATACACTTAAAGTGTGTATTATTTATTTAGATATTATATATATTATTTTTATTTTCAAGCATACATTTTAATATGCTGTGCCTCTAAGAAGTATTTGTGTTATGCATTATATAGTATATATTTATATAACATTTATAAATTGCACTCAAATATATTAAAAAAATTTTCTACTACATACATTTTAATATAAACTCCAAATCATATTGAAATTTATATAATATATGATAGAAAGACAGTGTTCAGGACTAAAAGAAATGAAACCATGAATAATTCTCTCCGTGTTAGGAAATACACAACTGAATTATTGATGTGTGGAGGAGCATGAATTATGCAGCCCTCCCTAACTGCTTCAGAAAACAAACAATATTTCTGTAGAGAGGGAGGAAGAGAGGAACGACAACACAAAGCCAGCAAAAGTTAAACTCAGTGAGCCTTGATCAAGACCACAGAGCAGTGTGAGCATTCAGTGCTGAGCATTAACTTGAAGTGCTGCTTGAGAAGCTGGATGGGCCTGCAGGGGTGATGAGGGATGCTTTACAAACCAACGTTATTGTGTCCGTAAGGGGTGTGTGTGTGTGTGTGTGTGTGTGTGTGTGTGTGTGTTTCTCTTTGTTTTTTAAGATAAAAGATACAAAAATTGTAAAGGAGAAACGGACATAGTTTTAAAAATATTTCTGTTCTAGTTCGCTTTCTATTGCTGTGACAAGGGACCCTGACCAAAAGAAACCTGAGGAGGGAAGGTTTGTTTCCCTGTACAGCAGACCTCAAGGAGGAATCTGGAGGCAGGAAGTGAAATAGCAGCCACGGGAAACGCTGCTTTCTGGCTTGCTCTCCATGACTTGTTTCTTACACCACCCAGGACCATCTGCCCAAGGACGTCACTGCACCCAGTGTTCGGGGCCCTTCCACGTCAATCATCTATCAAGAAAATGGCTTGCCTTCGAGCCAAACTTATGGGGGCATTTTGTTAACAGAGGCTCCCTCTTCTCAGATGACTCTAGCTTGAGTCAAGTTGACAAAAACTGAACAACACAATGTCTCAGGAAGAGCTGGGCCAGAAGCTGTTTACATGGGAGATGAGTAAGGCTGATCTCTCGGGCACAGGAAAATTGTCACCCATGTCGGAGAAGACCCCAGGTCCGTGTGCACTGTAGAATCAGCCAATGTGAAGAGAAAATAATGTTCAGGGAATCTGAACCACTAACATACTATGTTATGAGCACATTGTACAGTCACATGAGAGGCCATGGTGTGGGTGTGGAAGATCACCTGACTTCTGAAACCCAACTGAGACCCCAGTTTGTTATCTCATATGCTAACACTTGACTGCTGTTGCCAATGAGGTGACATGTGAAGATTTTGGAGAAAGTTTTGTGAAACTCTTTCACAAAAGAGTTTCCTCCAACGTAACACTTCCTGTGTGGTTTACAGAAGCTATCCTACATGATATCTTTATTTAGCTTTATTGGGTAGCTTAGTCTATCAGTTAAAAATCTAAAATCTATGTGTGTGTATATTATGGATTCAGAGCAGGTCACATGCTGGGAAAATTTCAAATCCATCCGATACCACGAGAAACCTGGACACAGACCAAGAACTGCAAGAGCACAGAGCGAAAGCTGTGACCTGGCATGGCTGCCTGGACCACACACTGTGTTCATTAACTGGCTAATCTATAAGAAGCTTGAGAGCCATATCAGAGAAGGTGCGTGACTCTGAGGAGGTGGGCAGTGTGCACAGAGGTGTAAGACCCCAGCTCAGATTCAGGCTGAGCAAGGACTGTGCACGTCCCCTTGAGGCTCAGATGGGCTCAGTGGCCACTGCTGTCCTGGAACATTTAACCCAGCAGACACTCAAGAAGGTTAAGAAGACAGCCCCTAGCCTGCCATGAAGTCCTGGGGTAAAGCCTAAAGGGTACTCATCCCAGACAAATGATGTGGCCAACAGCAACACTTGCAAGTTGATTCTGAGTACAGCAAAGTGGAGTACAGAAGTCACACTACACAAGCAGAACCGGAACTTGCAAAGTGTCTTAAAGACCTGCTCCTCACTCTGAGCCAATCTGCAAAGAGTAGAGGACTGTGCCAGTTGAATACACCAAGACATAAAGAATATACTAACTGGGTATGCTGACTCCTGCCTGTCATCCCTGCACTGGAAGGCTGAGACAGGAAGGTCACGAGTTCAAGACCGGCCTGGGCTACATAGTAAGACCTCACCTCAACAATATCATCATAATGTAGAATCAGTTCAGAGAGGGTGTGACAGTGTTAGTGCTGATGCTAACAGGCTCCTCAAGAGGCTAAACCACTGTGTACATATTAAATGCCTACTCTTGCACCCCTGTGGAGCTTTTCCCTTTTTATTTCTTTTTTACATTCAGACACAAGGCCACATCTATCACAGCGAGCAATTGTTGCCAGAAAAGAAAAAGGTTTTGGCTGCAGGATCTGGGAAGCATCACAGAAGAGTCGAGGAGGATTTCGGCCGTTTAAGACCCGGGAACATGACCTGCGGCCAGAAAAGGCACTCGCACTCATTCCTCTTGGAGGGTAGGAGACCCTGAGGCGCCGGTCTGGAAGGGGAGGCAGAAGTGACGGGCATGTGCAGTCAATGGAGAGACTGCTGAGAACCTCACACAGCAGCGGTGTGAGGGTGAGGAGGTGAGGCTGTCCGTGGCAATGGGGACGAACTTGCCGTGTCTGGACATAAAGAGCAGCCGGGCCACTCGTGGAGAGTAGAAATACATGCACATTTCTCAGCCACAAGCTTCAGGCCTTCATCACTCGGGGCTGTTCTGTTAAAACCCTGTTAACACACTGGAAAGTGCTAGTGAATACGACTGAATAGAATCTAAAACAGATGAGACTCTCATACCCCAAATGCTTGACACCAGAAATGTCTCAGAGTTTGTGTTTTTTAATTTTTATTTATTTATTTTTTATTTTAGAATATCCATGCACAAGCAATGAGGTGTCTTGGGGATGAGACCTAAGACTAAACACAAAAAAATTCACCTATATTTCTTTATATTTTATACACACAGTCTGAGGGTGAACTTATACAATATTTTTAGCATTGCCATGTTTCAGCTGTGACCTATCATGTGAGGTCAGGTGAGGAATTTCCTGCTTGTAACATGTCAACATTCAAAAAGTGTCAGGCTTTGGAGAATTTGGAATTTGAGATTTTTAGGTTAGGGGTGTCTGAGCTGTAATGGGCATGTGGACCTGTCACACAGGATAACAAAATCACAGGATAAAAAACCAAAATGGGTGGAAAATGCCCATTAGAACTTCATTTGCCTTCAGGTTATAATGTGTTATTTTAGGAATGCTATTGACAGGGTTTATATCAAGTAGACTCTGTATAGAGTTACAAATATTTATTTTATCTGCAAGAATGAGCTCCATTAGCATCAGACAAGGCCAGGAACGTGGACAAAACATGTGACAACAGCTAAGAGCCAGACCAACTGATTAGATCAGAGCCAATTTTCTCCTGAGCCCTCCTGCTCGGATTCTAGAAATGCTGGCTTTAATCTTCAAACTCTGTGCCTGATCTTACTTTCACTTCTGCAAACCAGTCTCTGTGATGCCCAAATTTAAATTTTCATAGGAGAATCACAATAATTTCCCCAATATTTTTCATGATTCAGTATTCAGAAAGGCATAAATTTCAAAGAAATACAACATTGGGAAACCTGCCCAAAAATATCCCAAGATCTGCCCAAGAATCTCCAGGACTTAAATGAAGTAGTCTGGTCCCCTTCACTCCCTGCCCTGAAGGACACCACTCACCATATGCATTCATTCAAATGTTAGCTGAAAGATAAGATTAACCAATGTGTCTCACATGCTTAATGGGAACTAACTTTTCTCCCGTTTCTCTTACATAGGTTTGTGTGTCTAGTCTCGGGCTTTCTGTGAGCTTGTGTATAAACCAGGGGAGGAACTCCGCTCCCCATCCCTACAATCTCCTGGCACCTACAAGCCTAGACTCGCTAGTTATTTGTTAACTGCCTCACTTATAAAGCAAGCCACATCAGCATGCTGACACACAATCATATCGATGCTTCTAAACCAAATTCCACCCCCAAATTTAAATTTTCCATCCTTCCTGGAACAATGTGACACATGGTCCCATTTTCAGTCTTTTTTGACAAAGATGAGTGATTTCCCAAGGCCCCTGTGTCTTACTGTGCATGTTTAATAATTTATCACTAATTGTCTATGAAGTGCATTGCTTCTTCTATATCTCTGTCCTCCTCCCCAGAAACCCGAGCTTCAATCTATAATTAAACAGGGACTCTGTAGTGTAAATGGTATGCTGGGTCAGGTTTGTTCACCTCTTCTTCAGAGCTCCTTCATCTTGCAAAAACAAGTACCTTCCCAGTATCCTTTTCCAAATAACGGCCCAGCTCTTCAACACCTATGCCTCTTTAATTGTGTTACTATGGACTTTTTTATTAGCACAAAAGCCCCTGGAAACCCCTTTCTAAAGGTCATTCTGCTAATAGGATTTGTCTGTTTTTTTAGAATCCATCCTAACCTCTGTCAGCTCTTGATCACGCTGCCCAAGGTTGCCTGGCATGTGCACTCTCTCTCCTCAGCCATCGAATTAAAACTCTAACCACACAATCGGTTGATTTTTCCTACAGTAACTGTCCCCAAGCACAGTACAGCTCTGTGACTATAATTCACAAATTGTCAAAATTATAATATCATCCTGGCCTTCGAAATGACCAACACTGCCAGGAACAGAAATCTTTGGCTATTTTTCTTCATATCATGTCCACAAAGTGCACTGGAAAGTTAAGTATTTCTCATCTACTTAGGTTCATACATAAAATTGATAATCATACTTTTAAATACTAAAAGAATCTAACCTCTCACATACCATAAATACCGACATTTTTAAGTTAGGCTTTATTATACCCAAGGGAGCCTGAGCAACTCCAGCTGCCTCATCTTCCACCTAAACAAAGGGGTGTTTAATTATTTTCTTTTCTTAGTTTGTTGAGACAGCATTTCATGTACTCTAGGGTGGCCTAGAACTCTGCACTACATAACCCAGGATGACTGTGAACTCTTGATCTCCCTGCGTCCACTTCTCAAGTGCTGAGATCACTGGCCTGGCACACTTGCTAGGGAGAGCTTTCTTTCAATGGACACCTCTGGAGCCTTCTCTTCCTGTGAACTTCTTCAGCACTACTCCCCCTCAGTATTTTCTCTTGATGCATTGCAGACTAATGTTTAAATATATTTTATTTATCAGATTACCTCTCTATTGAAAATGCATATGGATTCTTTTGGTGCGTGTGTGTTGCAAGACATGGAACTCAGGGTTTCATACACACTGGGCAATCACTCTACCACAGAGCTATATCTATGGTCCTAAATTATCTTTTAAATTTCCTGGGATAATCATAAATCTCTACATATTATATTTTAATTATGTATTAGTATTTTTGGTTATAATTCATATCATGATGAAAGTAGAAAAATGTTAAGCACTAAACACAAAGGTGTACATGTTATTACATGTGGCTGGTTTTGGTATCTGTGGCTAGTCTACCTTTTTGTAGAAGATTAAGATAGTGTGCAACACAATTCCAAGTCTGATTTCCACCTTATAGATGGTTCACATGCACGAGAACGGAAGGATGTATGATATAGGCATGGCTTAATGCTCTGAACTCCAAAGTCAGAGGCAATTACCACTTAGGGATCTATCATCTCATGTAATGTTTTATGATCCATAATTTAACAAGTCAGCCATGTTTGACTTGAATTTGGACAGAAGCAATGAATGTAAGCACATCAGTCTTTATAGCGATCTGCCATCAGACTCTCCTCTCACTGGAAACATTTCACAGAAGTATAGTAAACAGCTTTACCAAGACACCCTGGAGGACTGTTACTTACACGTCAAACTCTTCCACTTATAGGAACTTTGCCCAGTCTAACACACACACACACACACACACACACACACACACACACACATTTGTCAAACCTCAAGCTCAGAGACTTAGAATTCTGCTCATGAAAACATAGCCATCATATGCCAAATTGGCAAAACCAGTCCTCACAGTAATATCAATTAATTGAATCAGACTTCTCATGCCAGTTCAAATAAACATTCCATGAATCCCTATGGACACTATTTCACTTCTGACTCAGAACTTGAACACAGAGTACCACCCAGTACCTCTAACACCAAGTTGTATTCTTCACAGACATAGGCATAGCCGGGAAGCCCTTCTCTACGACTATGATGCCTTAATTGACAGAGGCATCGCAACACCCACACGTCGAACTGTCCTTTGCAGGGGTCCCGGAGGTGTGCACTGCAGGGACATGGTCAGATCACAATGCATGAGCATTCCTCATCCAAATGAGAGAAGAGACCCAATGTGGCATCTTTACCAAAAGTGTGCTCTTGGGTAGATCTTCAAGAAAGCATCCAGGTGCCAACAGAGGCGTCACAAGCCATTCTTTGGAAGCCATAGTGCCTATCACCTACTGGAAGGCTTCATTCTCTGAAAACCTTGGTGCCTGTGCCCCGTCAGAAAGCTTTTACTACCCATAGCAACACATATAAAAGAAATCAGCCACTGCTACTAAGACTTGACACAGTGGTTTCATGGCACCATCTGGTCTAGTGCATGATGAACCAAACCCTTTTAAAAAGAGTTTAAAAAGCAACATCTTCTGGACAAAGTCTTCCTCACACAAAATTAGTAAACTTCTTATTGAGTAACTCGGAAAGCAATTTCTAAGTCCACCCTTGTAACGTGGGAGAATGTCATCAGTCTAGCTTTCTTCCTGCAGCACCTGCAGCTTCATAATATAAACACAGGCATGAAGCAGAGCAGGGGTGGTGACATGGTGGTAGAGGTTTCACATGCCCTCTGCTATCTAAAAGCACACAGGATTTAAAGTTTTTGCAAATAAAAAATTGGAAGTGTCCTTTACCTCTTATAATAATCACAGCCCCTGTGAAAAGAAACAAGTGAATGCTGTCAGAGCCGATGTGAACATTCTAAAAGCAGCATTGGCAAGCAGAAGGGCACAGAGGTCAAGCTAAACATGACACGGGCCTTTCAGGTCATGAGATTTGAGAGGGGAGAAATGATTGGTTTAGCTGATATATGCAGACAGACGTTTGGCTGCTAGTGGTCATTATTTCATAGCGTCCGTTATACTCACCGCCTCGGTGTGGACCGGGTGCACTGCAAACAGCAGGGCTGTGACAAAAGCCAGTCCACGATTCTTGAAGACTGTTTTATCACAGGTATACATCAGCACGAGGGTCACCAGGCAGTGTAGAATGACGTTCACCACATGAAAGTAGAAAGGGTCCATGCCAGTCAGAAATATGTTTAGCCTGTAAAAATTAAAAATAGAGCAGTCTGTATGAGCCGTAATCACAATAAGAGCACAAGAGATCCATCCATCATTTAAGAAGACAAGCTATTGGATAATAGCTTCCAGGGACTCTCAACACTTTATGCTTGTGGACGGTCCAGCTTTTTCCTATGTCAGAACTGGCTCATCTACAGAAATCAATGCAGAGACAGCACATTGCTATTCAGGGAACTTGGACCTCTCAAGGAGGCAAACAGACGGGCATCACTCCATGACTCACCAAAGCCCTCCCTTCCTATTATTCTTGCATTTACTTCTAGCCCAGGGGAGGGTCCCAAGTGCTGGTGTCAGAGCCTTGACCCCTGGAGATGAACAGAAACCAGGAGGCTGCAACTGTATCTCAGCCAGGACAAACCAGGCATGAACGTGTGCTCTCAGCCATGGTGCCATCAGGAACCACGTTTCCAGATTCTACATCTGGAAGCTGAGTCTCATTGCCACCCCACACAGGGCTCGTTAGCAATGCTTGTTACTATAAGCGGCAGCTAAGACAGCACAAAGAGCAAACTCACCCGAGGTTTCAGCGTATGCAGTGTTTTTCTTAATGTTTATTTTGTATGTGCATGTCTGGGGGAGGGTAATGGGGAGGGCAGGTGCATGTGTTCACACATGTATGCCACTGAGCACATGTGGAGGTGAGAAGACAACTTACTGGAGTCTTTCTTTCCCAAAGAAAGATGAAAGTTTTCTCTTTCCACCATGTGGGCCTCCAGGATCAAGCTCAGGTCATCAGGCTTGGCAGCCAGCCTTTATCCACTGAGCCATCTGGATGGCCAGGGTTTGTTTTTTAACACAAGCTCCCACTGATCTGAGAATCTGATTGTTAACACTATGATAAGCCAACTAAAAACAAATCACAAACAGAAGGGAAATCAGGTGCTCATCATAAAAAAAAAAAAAAAAAAAAAAAAACACTCCTTCATGGCACCCAAACACAGAGCAGATACATCTAAAGGTCCCCTTTAATAACAGGATACAATGTTCCCAACTAAGTCTGTAGAGCAGTGGTTCTCAACCTTCCTAATGCTGTGACACTTTAATACAGTTCCTCATGGTGTGGTGACTTTGGTTGCTACTTCATAACTGTAATTTTGCTACTGTTGTGAATTGTAACGTAAATATCTGTGTTTTCCCATGGTCTTAGGTGATCCCTGTGGAAAGGTCATTCGACCAAATGGGTCGAACCCATAGGATGAGAAACTGCTGATGTAGAATTATAGAAGAAAAAAAATCCCAAACAAAACCTCTTGCTGAGCTTGGTGGCACAAACTGGTAATCCCAGCACTAGAATAGTTATGGAAAGAGGACTAGTGTGAATTTGAGACCCGTGCAGGCTACAGAGGTAAGCCCCTTCTCAAAAACCCAAACAAAAAAAGTACTCTTATGCAGGGCAGTGTGCACACAATAAGCAGTTTGATGGCCCAGACCTGGCTGCCCTCCAGTTCATCACACCAAAACAGCAATCCCAGGTCTTTATCCTAGTGCTCTTGACCTGCCCCTCTTACAACACCACCCTCTTTGCCTAAACAACCAATCAAAAATGTACAAGTCACTCTTAGAGATGACATATGTGGGTTCTAAACAGCTGGCTTGATTTATGCACAGCTTGGACCTTCAAAACTCTAAATATCCCAGACTTCATTTGGGCACCACAGTTACTGGCTGTGTTGGTTTGAGAAATATCACTCCCATAGCCTTGTGTCCCCTGTTGGTGGCACTGTTTGAGGAGGTTATGCTTAGGAGGTGTAGCCTTTCTAGAGGAAGTACTTGACGGGAAGAAGGATTTGAGGGTTTATAGCCTCCCTTTACTTCCTGTTCTCCTACTTTGCTTCCTGTATGTAGATGAAGATGTGATCAGCCTGCTTCCTGTTCCAGCCATTTGCTACCATGCTTTCCCCACCACTGTGGACTGCACCCTCTGGAATTGTAAGCAAGTGGAGATGGGATTCCCCAGAGCAAACGGGCTAGCAAGACTAGCCATTCTGGGAGCTCTGAGTATATAGGAAGCAGAGGAATCCCTGAGTGGATGTGTATTGTTGACATGGGCATGGCCATGCCAAGGACTCCAATGCCTCAGCCCCACGGGAATGGCAAAGCCTTACCCAAGTGATGTTCACCTACAGAGACTTCCCCTGTGCTGACCTAATAAGCACACTGAGGTTCTGGGTAGCCAGGGGTGGTAGATGCCTTCCATTCATCTGATCCCAGCTTTCCTATACCCACATCTGTGTATCTGTCCTTTCTTCATTCCCTCACTGCTCATAATCAGGGTTCCAGGACTGGAGCAGTGCAGGTCATGGTATCTAGGTTTGACTGAGACAGGGTCTCAATCGATAAAGTAGAAGAATGAACTAAGGATGATTGATTCCTGGCATCAATCTTGGACTTCCACAAACATATTTACACACACATCTCATAATGTTATTTATAAAATAGCAAGATCTGGAATGTGTAAAAAGATAGAGGCACATAAGTTTGAGACAAAATGCTAACAAAAATTTCAAACATAACCTATCTGTGAGCAGAGAGCAGAGTCTCTGGCTCTGGAAGCCAATATGAGTGTACAGAAGAAAGGGGGTTAACTGATTAAGTTTCATAATTTAATAGAAGAGGGGCTGTGATCGATGCTCTGCATCTATGTCTTAACAGAGACATCCATCAAAATATCTTGAAGTCTGCCTGCATACATGACAGCCCAGGATGGATTTGCAGCCAATACAGAGTGGAGACTAATACATCAATGTCCTCCAGGACTGAGTTCTCCAGTGCCTGTCACAGTGCCCTGGTGTTATCTCTGATCTGCCCAATGCCACTGCCAATAGCTCAGTGTAACTACAGAACCCACACTTACAAAGATTACACACTGTCTATGCTGAGAAGGGGAAGGGGACACTGGAAGACTCACTGAGATTCAGGGGCAAAGTGGCCACAACTGTTCATGTCAACACTACGCTGGGGGCTAAAATACACTGGTACAAAAAAGAGCAAAACACTTGCATCCAGATTAGAACTGTATATATCCTATGGCCCAGAAGGGGTTGTTACCCTCACCTGAAAAAGTTAATGTTCTCTAGCCACCAAAGCAGGGACAAATCCAACAGACAGAAAAAGAGCCACAGAAGTCAACAGTTTATCATTTCAGTTTATTCAACAAAATTTGCTAGGTGCTAACCACATGAGGCAGAGCCCAGAGAGACAACAAGAAGATATTGTGTCTACTCTTAAAGGGTTAATAGAGTAGTGGGAATAAGAAATGAACATGCACAGATCATCAATAGTGGCAGAGCTCTGGCAATGGAAGGACCTACCAGGTCAGAGCTCTCAACGAGGGAAATGTTCTCCAAGTGGAAAGAGGCAAGACAGATGGTACCCAATGTGGGGCAGCAGGGCTGAGAGAGCATCTTAGACACTGGGGTCACCTGCACGAGGGAGCTCCAGGATGGTGGGGGCCCTCTGAAATGGAATCTCAGGAAGATGGGTTTGGAGACATGAGGGATGCTCAAGCTAGAGAGAGATGGTGAGCAGAAGTGATCAGTGTGCAAGGGACATGATGTTTGTGGAGCTTACAATGTTGCTCTCCAGTGTCGAGAGCAAGTGTCACTCATGGTTGTTACACAGTAAATGCTGCAGTAGATGATGGATGGACAGATGGATGGATGAATGAAACGTTGAGACAATGCACTTACTCTAAGTCTACCCAAGGAAGAAAGCAAGATTTAATTACATTAGAAACAAACTCTCCCAGGCCAGGTTCCCCCCATAAACAGTTTCCTTTCATCCTTATACATCTTTTCTTTTTTAATTAGCCAATATTTTTTAAACTATGTTTTTAAAAAAAGGGGGGGGGGAAGTGCTGTGGGATGATCTGTATGTCAAATGCTCTGATTGGTCAATAAATAAAACACTGATTGGCCAGTGTCCAGGCAGGAAGTATAGGCAGGACTAACAGAGAGGAGAATTGAGAGAACAGGAAGGTGGGAGGAGTCACAGCCAGCCACCGCCAGGACAAGCAGCATGTGAAGATGCCGGTAAGCCACGAGCCATGTAGCAAGGTATAGATTTATAGAAATGGATTAATTTAAGCTATAAGAACAGTTAGCAAGAAGCCTGCCACGGCCATACAGTTTGTAAGCAATATAAGTCTCTGTGTTTACTTGGTTGGGTCTGAGCGGCTGTGGGACTGGTGGGTGACAGAGATTTGTCCTGACTGTGGGCCAGGCAGGAAAACTCTAGCTACAGATGTTTGTATACAAATACTTCAAATTTATTTTAAAATATTAGAAGACTTGACAACTCCAGGCTGCCTGTGCTACATGGGAATATGTGGGTACCAGTTTCATTAGAGCAAATACTCACAACTAGCCATAGTCTCTAGTGTGCTTCTAATGAAAGCCACTCATTTATGATGACACGGGAGACTAAAAAAAAAAGACAGCATGACTATTGTTTAAAGAAAAACAAAGTATATTCCTAGAAAAGAAGGTATTCCCATGTACCTACAATGTAAAGTACTATACACCAAAGAAAAGTCAGTCCCTCAGTGACCCAGTCAACTGACACCTTCAGCAGCTGAGATTTCAACCTTTAGAGCAAAAGAAGGCTCCAGCTCAGAGAAAGCTGTAGCATGGAAGTGTGATGTTCTGTCTGGATTATCAATTTGATGGGATTTAGAGTCACTTAGGGGACATAACTCTGGGTCTGTCTATGGCACTGTTTCCTGAAAGGATTGAGGGGAGACACACATCCTCAAAGTGTGTGTGACTTAAAAAAAAAAAATCCAAGATACAAAGAGATCCAAAGAAAAGGCAGGGTAAGTCTGCCTGCCTCTGCTTCTTCCCGAGTGAGTCCGTGGCTGACATCAAAGCTTCTTCAGCCTCAGCTTCAGGGACTGAGCAGCCACAGGGCACTCAGCGTCTCCAGCATGCAGGTGGCCCTTGTTACCTAGCTTCTGCCATATAA